CTGCTCCTGCTCCTGCTGCTCTTGCTGCTGCTCCTCCTCCTCCTCCTCCTCCTCCTGCTCCTGCTGCTCCTGCTTCTGCTGCTGCTGCTGCTGCTGCTGCTGCTGCTGCTGCGGCTGCTGCTGCTGCTGCTACTGGTACTGATACTGCTGCGGCGACAGCGACGGCTACAGCTACGGCTACGGCTGATCCTACTCCTGCTCTCCTACTCCTACTACTGCTGCTGCTGCCCTAAACCCGAATCCCTAGGAGTTTTTGTTTGCAGTTTCAGATGAGGCTCGCGGAGTTCATCTGAAAGAAGGCCGACGTGATCCCAGCGAGGAGGCCCCCAAAGAGCTGGCAAAGCATGTAGCAAACCTCTGTCTAGGGTTGAAGGTTTAGGGTTTAGGGCTTAGGGTTTTGGGTTGAAGTCTAGGAGTCTAGGGATTCTACCTACCAGATTCAGACAGCCCGACCCTCAAGCTCTCAATTAAGTGCAGCACAAAACTGAGCCAAAGCACAAAATCCTAAACATCCTTGAACCATAAACCCGAAACCGTACGGCCGTAGAGCCCATGGCATAAGAGCTGCTTCGACAAGGGGCTGCATCTTTCGCGGTGCACTTTCCGCGCAAGGACACGGCCAGCGTCACGGCTGGGTTGAGGTGGGCGCCAGAGATGTTACCTTTTTGGCATCCCTTTCCACTAAACCCTAAACCCCTAAACCTCAACCCTAAACCCCAAACCCCAAACCCTATTTCTGTTACGTTAGGGCTTGGGCAGGATCAGCGTTGGGGAGTCAGAGTTTAGGGCCCGGGGTCAGGGTTTGGGGTTTAGGAATCGCTTGCTTTTCATACAGGGTTGTATTGGTTCTAAAGGGTTCTATAAACTAAACTCTTACGGGGCTTCAGGGATGCGGTAGAAGCCAGAAAGTTGGAACAGCCTTCTCGTCATACCCTTAAGGTACAGTATAGGGCATCCCAGCACTACTCATTCTAAATCCATGTCCCAACTTTCTGTGGTTCACCCTAAACCCTAAACCCTAAACCAGTCTGATTGACTTCCTAGAGGCTCACACCCTGCACCTTTTTCAGGGCACCTAGTTCTTAGTTAGCATCTGCTATAGAGAAGCAGGCACCCTAAGAAAGGGGTACGGACCCTAAGCCCAAAGCCCTATGAGCCTCTAGGACTCTAGGTTTGGGTCGGTTGCCAAGGATCCGGCTTGAGGCTTTTAGGGTTGACCTTGACCCCAAATAAACTACCTTTTCAAAGGACTGATATACAGAAATCATAATAAGGAGCCCTAAAAAGGAAGGTTCTTTAGGGTCCAGGTAGGCTTTAGAAACAGACCGAAGCCCCCGGACGGACCATGCAAACACAATATGACTGAATATAACAAAACATACTACAACAAGACAATATAGTTTAGTTAGCATGAAATGAAGCAATAAAACGCACCCCCCCAAGCCCAAGCCGCAAACAAAGCCTCAACTAGCATCGAACCATACGCCATGCAATATCCCTAAGCCCTGACCTAAACTCTAAACCCTAAACCCTCTAAAGGGTCCTTAAGGTCATGCAGGATTTATATCACAACAGAATGACTGGGGTGGAAGGCCTCATGGTTTGCTGGACATAGAACTCTCCAAAGGGTCCTATGTGCCTATATAGTAGAATGTAGGATTTCTACTTTAAGAATTACTATTCATTACTATTAAGATTTAGGGAAGTATCCCCCCGCAGTACATAGGATGTTTTGGGCTTAAGCCGTCAGGCCTATCTTCACTGACTTCTCCTTGAAGTCAGGTTCTCGGCTTGATTACTTCTGGGATGGGAACCAGTACCATGAGGTCCTAAACTTGGAGGGTCGGGGGACTTAATAACGGGGCTGATATAGGGTTCATGGATTTAGGGGTTTAGGGGTTAAGGGTTTAGGGGTTTAGGGTTTGGGGTTTACTTGGAGGGCCGGAGGACTTAGTAACTAGTTTTGTTACAGACTTATAGTAAACCCCAATTAGGATCCCTTGTAGGGTACTTATACCTCTCCTTGATATCTACGTACTAAGTCCCCCGACCCTCCAAGTATGCGACCCTCAAACCCTGTTGGGATTTCGGACACGTTCAGGCTCAGGTAATACATCGCCATGGTCAACTGTCGCTTTTGCAAGCGCTGAGCCATGGATGCCACACTCTTCGAGCGCTCATCCCACATTCGAGCCTCTCGCTTCAAAAATGCACGGTTCTGTATTTCTTCCAAAAGCTTGAGAATCGGAGTGAGCTCGTCGATGATCGCGGAAGTTTCCTGGCTAGAAGCATTCGCTTGTCGGCTGATGGCATCAGCCGTCTCTGCCAGTCCTGCCCAAGGACCGGCCAAGGTTCGAAGTGCCTCCGTGTCAGCTTCCGTGCACTTTACTTGGAGGGTCGAGGGACTTAGTAACTTGTTATTTTATAGACTTATAAGTACCATAGCCCCAATTAGGATCTCTTTTAAGGTACTTCTATTACCTACTTACAAGTCCCCCTAAACCCTATACCCTAAAGCCCGAAAGCCTTAAACCCTAAACCCTAAACCCTAAACCCTACTTACTAAGTCCCCCGACGATCCAAGTAAGGTGCTGGGCTTGTGTTTCGGGAAGGATCAAGGGCTTGTCGTACCTGAACTGCAAGATGATACAGGGTTTAGGATGTTGGGTTTAGGGTTTAGGGTTTAGGGTTTGGGGTTTAGGGTTTTGGGTTTAGGGTTTTGGGTTTCGGGTTTAGGATGTTGGGTTTAGGGTTTAGGGTTTAGGGTACAGGGGCCTTAATGATTAGA